CGTCTGGACGAGCCCGTCTGGGAGCGGAGTGTCCCAATCCGATCCCTCGAGCCACAATTCCTGTAAGAGGATTTTAGCCTTGATCGAGCAGGGGTCATAGTCTGGGCTCAAATCCACGCCCAGTATAGGGTGGTTAGGCTGGGATCCCCCAGTTAGGTCTGCCGCTGCCAATTCCCGGCAGTCTACCAACACCTGAATTTAACAATTTAGGATTGAACAACGAAGCGTTAATATCGAAAGCTAGTTTATTCCAATCAATTTATAATAAGTTCATTTTCTTGTAAGCACGATTATAGTCGTGTAAGCAAATTACGATTAGTTGCAAATATGAACATAACTTAACATGTATTCGTTTAACTGATAGAAGTTTTCAAATAATGGTGTAATTAATCGTTACGATTCTTATTTTTGGTCTAAAGATAATTTTCATTGGTTCAGTGAACAGAATTTCCAAGACAAATTTATAATATAGTAGGTCGTTAAATTCATTTTTTCATTAACATAGTCCTTGAAATTTGTTATTTTTCAATATATAGCTGAGTAAATACTAATTAACTATCATTGAAAACATTTTTTTGTTAGACTGTCGAAAGTGCTTGAAAAATTTTAACGACAGTTATGTGCCACACCCTGTATAAGTTACTATAAATGGAATTCAATCGGCAAATGTTTGACATTAAATTATAACGGAATGGTTGCTTTGGGATATGGTTCCTTTTGCAAGTTTGCTCCTCTTGATGTTATTTATCCTCCTCTCGACCTTGAAAAATATGGTCAAAATCACTTTTGCGGGAAGTTTTTTTTTAACAGATGTCCATCGACCTAAAGATGTAAATACATCTACGATAGCCATGATATAACATATTTTTACACCCTGTACAATGGATATGAAGGACGGTTTCTTAATGTGTTGCAAGAGCGCAAAGAAAAACTGCTTGTTCAACATCGCAAGGGACTGTAAACGAACGTCGCGAATGTCGTCGCGATCTGCGGCTGTATTTAAGAGCACCTCTTTGATGCTCGGGGGGAACCACCGTCAGGTGCCAATTGCCAAACGGTTGACTCAATAAAAGGGATAATTCAAACGCGGTGTACGAATTGTTTGCTGAAGTAGGCGTTTGGCGGTCGGGTCAACATACGACGGTAAGGCAAACTGTTTATTAAACGGTGACTTTCGCCGTTGTCGATCGATCGTACTCGAAATAAGTATTGTCGTCACAACGGGAGGGTGGATCAACGCTACTAATTAAGATACGAAGAAATTCTATCGAATAAATTGGACAAGTTGCCCAAATGTTTATTTCTAAAACAATGAAAAGAGTCAAATGATCACTGGAATTGAACAAATAGAATGTGATATGTACAAATAGTTACAATTACCGCAGGAAGAACACGTACGACATCTACTTAAAACTATCGCTTGAAAATTATTTACAATGGATAATTAGCGCAGAGTGCGTGAGGGCCGGACGCCAACGGGGGAGCCGCTTAAAACGCTTCTCCGACACAAGGACACATAGAATTCGGAATCTGTGTGTTTCGTACGCAACGCGATCCGATAAAATCGAGGAGCGCAACAAGGACGCATGTACGACGAAAATTTCAGACCGAGAAAGGCTGTGAGACCACGCATCAGAGCGAGAACCAAGGTTCGATGTGCGTAGATACGCAAGAATCGCACGCAACGCTATACTCTCGAGTATGCGGAGCGAAATCGGGTGAGTCACCCGGTAACCGGCTAATCTTGCCGTGAAGATTGACCGCGAATTAGAAAAAATTGATTCAGTATCTCGTTGTCCCCAAGACGGGGGACGCGACTGACTGTGACTTGGTCACGTGTGGTGGGGAAGGCTGTGGCTCACTTAAGGGCCCGGGTCGCCGCACACTATGACGAGCCACACATACAAGAAAATCATATACGTATATTAGTTTTAGGGGTTTCTATCGACCAAAACTGACGCTTTAATATCGAAGTATGCAGTTCACAAGTGGAAAATTTAGATTCCGGAAAGACTAAACGACTGGGCTTCGGTTGTAGAAATATCCGTTTTGCAGTTATTGCGGAGATATTTGCAATATTCGGCCAGAGTGGTGTCAATCTCACGAGCATGACGTCACAAGATGGCCGCCGCTAACAGTTTTTCGTAAATATCGAGAGATATAGAGCTCGAATCGAAAATTCACAACCGAAGCCCAGTAGATAAGACACGTACAAAGACGGTTATGTCAAGATTATGTCAAGGTTATGTTATATACCTGACGGTTGAGCTCGCTGTGGTGCAGCTTGTTGGTTGGAAGAGAACTGTGACGCTAGTAGTGAAAAATGTCGGAAGCTCGGGGTTGGTGCTTCGGTCT